GAATAATTATTACCTCTAAAAGTCTCGAGTTCGAGAACTAGAGACTGTAAGGTATTTGATTGTTAATTATTGAATAATTAAAAGTTATTAAAACAAATATTATCAGTTATAATCACCTTAGATTAATAAAAAAATAAATAAATTATTTTACTCTTACTTACGTTTAGTGAGGTTATTGCTGAATTAGAAGTAAACAACGAATCAAATCTATTTCGATTAGCTTTATATAGCAATTTTGAAGCAACAAAAAATTTAAAAAAAATCATAATATAAATAAATTTTATTCCATATATATATATATATATACTAATGAAGTGATGAACTGTGAGGGTGGGAGAGTGAAAGCAACAATCACGATGTACAATAGCGTGCTGGCAAAACATTTAAAGAAGTTTGGGGCAAAAAAAATTTATATAAAATTTTTAAATTTAATCATAATTTTATTTAGAGAGAAAGAGAAAGAAAATTTTAGGGAAAAAAGAAAATACTTACAGTAGGTTTAGAAATTATAATCTAAAAAAATATGATCGATTAAAAATAAGTAAATAATATAATTGAGTTTTAATTTAATTTTTGTTTTTATTATTTTAATATTTAAGCAACTATAATTAAGTATATATTGCTCTTTTTCTATAAAAAAAAGTATATATTATTCTTTATTTAAAGATTTTAAATCATTTATAGAGATTATAAAAAAAGTAAAGATGATTTTTTTACAGAAAATATAAATGATTGAAAAATACGTTTAACTGAAATTTTAAAATAAAAAATTAAAATATGTAGAAGGTTTTAAAAATATTATATTTACTAAAAAGTTTTTTTATATAGGGTGTCCGGTTTGGAACTCCGAACTAATGGGTTGCTGGCATTTCCATTGTAACTCTGGTTCTTTGTCTGTTTTGCAGGTCCAACGATGTTGGATAGCTTCTAACGATCAACTAGAGATTCAGAACAAGCTTCATTTGGCTTACCCTCCAGTTACGGCCAATGGGGTGGAACATTTCCCTTATGGTTTTCTGGTTCTCTCACGGTCTATCATTATGGTTGAATCTGATCTGGAAGGTCCCTTCTATGGACTTCTGGGAATGTTTCCCTCTCTACGACCTGTTTTGGAAGGGGCCACCAAATGGGAGCCTGAAAATTAACGTTGACGGAGCTTTGGGATGCAGATTCACGATCAGCTGCAATCGGTATCGTCGCTAAAAATCAACATGGGCTCGTAGTGGGTGGCCATGCACGCAGACTTACAGGTTATCATTCAACTGAACTCGTGGAAGCTCGAGCCTTTACAGAGGGCATCTCCTTTGCTGTTGAAATTGGATGGGATGATGTACTAATTGAAGGAGACGCACAAGCATTGTTTACAGACTAGCAAATTTTGTGCTTATCTATCCACTGTGGGTACTCATCTAGTTGAAGGTAAACGTACCTGACACCTGCACTCAAACTTTTAAGGTTGCCTTCGTTCGTAGAAACGCCAATGTTGTGGCTCAAACACTTGCCCAATGGACTTTTCACTGTTCTTCACCTATTTGGTTTGTTTCATATATCCCGAATTGTATTACAAACCTCGTTATTTCTGATATAATAAATATCTGAGTAAGTTTACCTTAAAAAAATCCACTAATCGATTAATATGTATCAAATATTATATAGGTTCATTAAAGGGCTATTATCCCAATGTCGTTTTTCCATTCACTATGTCGAAATTCAAATTTATAATATTATTAATGGGATTTAACACTTCATCTCATTAAATAAAAAAATTACTTAAGTTTGAATCTAATTTTAAAACCACAATAAATAAAAATAAAATATAACCTGTTTTTTTAATATTAATGAAAACATAGTATGATTTTGTGTTCGGGTGAACTTATATAATTTAAAAAAAAGACAAATTTATTAAATTTTAAGTGAGATGGAATCATCTTTTAAAAAGTATATAAAAAACTATTTAAAATGTATAGAAATTTAAAATTCTGTCGCCCTCATCCGCACTCCCTTATGCTGCTGTAGCTATTTATGTAATTTTCAAGATAAGATGTGTAGAGGAAATGAACCACAAATTGTTGAAATGGGAATACGACTTTATTGTTAGAGCCTCACAACACATAATCAGAATATATTCTCAAAGCTATATGTGTGATTATAAAGTTACACGATACAAAAAGAAAAGATAAAAGAATACTATTATGATTCCTCTTAGAATCATTGAAATTTGAAAGTTGTGTGACAATTCACCAACTTTTAGGTTTCTGCATTTTCAATTACGGTTTTCCCCCTTTAAAATACTATTTCATTAGTTGAATTCAACAAGTGGTCTAAGTATAAAAAATATTATTTTTAGAGTTTTGAATTCAAACAATTACGTTTATAGGTTATGTGTACATCGTTAATAAATTAAGAATATTTTGAACAAATACTACCTTGTAATCCTATCATACTATTCAATATATATATATATTGATTAGTTGCACTACAGGAAAATAGAGTTTTAGCGGCATTTTTTTAGTCCTATAGCGGCGTTTTTAAACGCCGCTAAAAGCGCTTGCGGCGATTGGAAAAACGCCGCAAGAAGCGCCGCAAAAAACAGCGCCGCAAAAGTTAGCGGCGTTTGAGAACCAAAAACGCCGCTATAGTTCAAGATCTATAGCGGCGTTTTTGGAACAAACGTCGCAAAAAGGTCGATATATATAGCGGCATTTTTAGAACAAACGCCGCAAAAGGTCAAGATCTCTAGCGGCGTTTATGGAACAAATGCCGCAAAAGGTCGAGATCTATAGCGGCGTTTTTGTAACAAACGTCGCAAAAGGTTAGATATTTAGCGGCGTTTTTGGATACAAATGCCGCAAAAGGTCGAGATCTATAGCGGCGTTTTTGTAACAAACGTTGCAAAAGGTTAGATATTTAGCGGCGTTTTTGGATACAAATGCTGCAAAAGGACAGATCTATAGTGGCGTTTTTGGACACAAACGCCGCAAAAGGTTAGATATTTAGCGGCGTTTTTGGATACAAAACGCTGCAAAAGTACGGATCTATAGCGGCGTTTTTGGACACAAACGCCGCAAAAAGTCAGATCTATAATTACCATTCTTTAGCTAAGATTAATTGATATTTAATATTTTATATCATTATCTAATAATAATAAACTTAAAATTTAATTACGACACAAATTATATGCAAAAATAAATCAAATTTTATAAAATTAAATTAAAATGTAACATAGTTCAAAATTGTTCACTACAATTTATTCTAGGTTCTTTCTCTTTCAATAGAATAAAAACATTGTTCACTAGAATAAAAAACAATCTTCTAGTGGCAATTTTCCTTTTGGCATGCAACTTCAATTGATTCTCTTCATCAGAAATGTACCTTCAATTCAAACAACAATGAAAACAATGGATTCAAATACAATATATTACAAGAAGATAAACTAGAAGAAAAAGCATGATTCTAAACAATATTACCTCCAAATTTCTTGCCTTCAAACATAAGTTCAAGCTAATGAGAAAAATGTTAAACATTATCTTCTTTCTAAATAACTATGATACATGGCATATATCCACATATGCAAGCTAGCCAATGCATTCTGGAAGACCCCCATAATCAGATGGCATATGGAAAAAGGAGGAGAAATATAGATTTAACTAACATACATAACACTGTCAACCCTTAATGGGTACAATGCTTCAAACATTCCTAAGCAAAAAATGTTTGTGACACAGGTGTGATGCTTCTGATTTGGCATAGAAATGCTCGTGATAGTTCTATTGCATTTCAAGAATAACACCTAAAATTCAGAACTATGAACAGAGTATGGTTGGCAAGAAGCTGATAGCAAAACAATAGATAATTCAAACAATTAAAAGAAAAAAAGACAATAGCTAATAGACCAAAACTTCATAAAGAAAAAAGCTTCTAAAATAATTAATGATTAAAATCACAAAATGCAGGGAATGATTAAAATCACAAAATGCAGGGAAACAATATACATTAATATAGTACATGAAAGACAAACATGTTGATTATAAACAATATTGATCATAACCATCAGCAATTATTGCAAATACAACAAGAAATAAGATAAAGAGGCCACTTTCCCAGCTGTTAGCAGTAACCTGAAAAAGCCTGATGATTTTGAATGATAAATCTAAAACTCTGAAAAAGCTTTAAAATAGTAGTAGTAACAGTTCAAAACCAATTTATTTTGACTCACCTGCAACACCTTTAAAGTCTGATGATTTTGACTCGCGCTGAACATAGACACAACCAAGACATTTGCTGTAAGAAACAAGCCAAATATCATTCATCACGCCAGTTCAAAACCAATTTATTTCTACTACACAGGAAATATAGAACTGGTAGGAAAGATACAAAACAAAAGAAACATATAACTACCAAGAACTAATTGATGCACACAATACTCTTTCCAAAACTGAAGATTCTTATTCTAATGTAAATGGTTCGCTTGCTAGACATTGTTACAACATAAGATGTGAAGCTTGTAGATTAGGAGAATGAGTGACATAAAAGAAAACTATTGACATAAGTCCCATAACTATATCAAGCTTTAAAAGGCAAAAAAATCAATTATGGCAACCAAACTGTAGACTGTTTTGCACCAAATCACGGGAGAAATTACGAGGATAAAATTAACTCTCACCCGATAAGACCAATTAAGGGAAGTTTACTCACTGATCTCTTCAGCAATAAAATCCAAGCATTTCAAAGGAAAAAACCAAACAAGAGATATGTCAGTTAAAACATCAAAAGCTTACATTTTATACCATAATCAACTACTAAAATGAGAAGAGTGGAAAAAACCAGGCCTTTCTTGTTGTTCTGATTGTTTAGTACTCTGTAGACAAATCATACACAGAAATAGAAATTCAGGAAAATGTTGATCAAGCAATTACTTCTTGTGTTTAACTAAAGTCTGTCAGTTATCATAACTAAATGCATATGAATCATCTTAAATCCTACCTCGGTTTTTGAACTTTCTACCTCGGTTTTGAACTTTCTTGGGTATTTGCTGAATCCTTATGAGTTTCATTAATCCAATAAAATCCTATCGTAAAAAGCAGCAACCTAGAAAGAAACCGACCCGACTGGACTATCACGGCTCGCCTACACCCACCCAAATGTGCAAAATCTTCCTGCTCATCCTCCAGATTCGGGGTCGAGAATAGCGTAAAAATTCTACAAATCAAGTAATACACGACCAAAATAGTCATTACCAAAACGAGACGTATAGGGAGAAGCGTGACGAGGGCGATGCCCAGCAGGAGTTTCTCTTTCAATGGCAGCTTTCCACATCCCATTGAACCGTACACGTCATTGCGCACGAAGGCTGCGAATTTCTTCTCGAGCTCCTGGATACCTTCGGCGGCGGATTCAAGGAGAGGGAGGTCGTCTTTGGAAGAGGCATCGTCGTCGTTGGGGTCGGATTCTCCGGTATTGGCCGGTTTTGAAGTAATGCCATTGAGTTTGGCATTGGGGCTGCGAAAGAGACGATTTTGGAAGGTCTAGAAATGGTCTTAGGTTGTCGGAGTTGCTAGGGGAGGGTTGGCCATGGAGGATTTTGGCCTCTGGTTCATTTTCTATTAAGGATAAAAAGAATAAGAGTGAGAGAGATGTAAGCGGCAGAAAGTTAGAAGGGTAAACATAACAAGGTTTTAGGGTTTCTTTAAAAAAATTAATGGGATTCAAGTGCGTACGTGTTTTGGGGGGTTTAGCCGCAGAAACGCCACTAAAGTACGGGTCTTTGGCGGCGTTTGCATAAAAACGCCACTAAAAAAAACGCCGCTAAAAGTGCCGCTAAAAACCCATTTTGCTGTAGTGTTGATTGAATATTACTTTGATTTGATAATATTATTGTTTAGTACATAAATTATCGATTTTAGTCCATTTATTGGAGCTATGTCTCGTCAGCCCATCCGTTAAGTTTTTAATGATGGGGTACTATAATGAAACAAAAACTAAACATTAAGTATGATTTAAAAAAAATATTGATACTAAAATGGATCAAAACTAATAGTTTATATACTAAATACGTAGTTTATCGTAAAATAAATTTGTTGAACTATGTTTTGATATAACAATTTAAGGCAAAATGGTTTTTGGACTTGAATTGAATTTAAAAAATGTTTTTGGACTTAATTGAATTTATTCAAAGTTTTAAAAGGTTTAAAAAATAATTCAAAGTCCATTAAAATCGGATTTGAGCCAAAATGCTAAAGGGTGTCAAAGTGCATCCATGCATCCCTGCAGTGCATCCATGCACCTGCACTAGTGAATCGATGCATCATGCAATGCATCCATGCACTCAAACACCGAATGCAATTAGTGCATCGATGTATCCTTCTGTGCATCAATGCATCAAGGCCATGCATCCATGCATCAAGGCTGCAACAGCTAGTAACAGCTAGTTTATTTGAATTTAATTAAGGGGTATCGATGCACCATGATAGTGCACCGATACACCATGTTATGGGCAGCCTTTTTGAGTAGAAAAATCATCCCCAAACGGCTCAAAAAACATCCCCAACAGCTATATACAACATCAAACACATTCCAAGCTATAAATACAAGCTAAGGACACTTGAAGAAAGACGAGAACAACTATCCAAGCAATCAAACACAAGAAAAGAGTTTTTCAATCTTATTTCATCATTCTCTTGTAAATATTTTGTTTTTGTGAGCTCAATCTTGTAAACACCTACCTTAGAGAGGTTTTCTTGTTTACTTATTTTATCCTTTTGTAAAGGGGAAAAGTTCTAGCTTATCCCGTGTAAAAGTTAGGGAAATGTTCTAGTTTAGCCCGAAAAAACTAGGGAGTTGTAAGGTTATCTCGTTGTCCTCAAAAGAAAGAACAAATTAGTGAATTTGTTGAAAAATCCTTGGTGAGGAGCTAAGGTAGTGGACGTAGACTTTGGTTGAGAAAGTCGAACCACTATAAATCACTATGCAATTTTCTATCTTTCAATCTCCTTACTCCCTAAACACAAAACTGTTCCGACCCCTCTTTGCAAACCGTTCCGGTTGTCGATTCGAGCTTCCGAAAATCCCAACAAATTTTTAGGGTTGCCAAATGAGTAAAAAATAAAACAAAATAGTGATGGAGACCGTGGTTTCAAACCAACAACTAAATATATGATTTCTAGCTTTTTCTTTTTCGACTTTGCATTTGGAATCAAATTATAATTTTACACTTACTAATGCATGAACTCCACCACTCAATTATGCATTACGTTTTATTTTAATACTTTAGTACTAACATACTTAAAAAATAATTAATTACTTTTAATAATTTATTTTAATTATTTAAAATAAATAATATTTATTAATTATATATAAAAATATTAATAATGAGTTATATTAAATGTTTTTTATTATAATTATTTTTTATAATCTAAATTGATATAATTCATATATAATAATATATTTTTGAATTTATTATAATTTAAATTTATATTATTTATATATAAGTGTAAATATAATTTAAATGTTATGTTTTTAATTGACAACATAATATCTATAATAGATATTTTATCTTTTTAAACCTACATTTTAACAATAATTCTAAATAATTAAATTTAAAATTATACTTTTGTAAAACACTTTTAAAAGTTAATTTCTAAAATACCTTTATTAGTAATTTTTAAAAAAACTATACAAAATTAACCCTTAATTTGATCATTCAAAGTATGAGAGGTTTCAGCCTTTTCATTTCATTTAAGATTTCGATGGGCGCAATGTAAGGGCCAGAATTATCTTAAGGTAGGAGGGGATGTCCAATTTTTTGGTTTAATCATTTTTAAAATGATTGAGCACCATAGATGCCAGCGGTAAAGGAGTTGTTGTTATTCTTTGAGGATCCGATTCGAATACCATAGATATCAGGGGTGCAAGAGATAAATATTAAAAGGTTGAGAGTTATATTTGAACATATATTACCATGTACTTATCCTAGATAATTTAAAAAAAAAGAATTGAAAGATTTTAAAATAATAGTAAATAAATAAATAAAGGAAATTGAAAAAATGTGTTTAAAATATTGTAATCATGCATATAATTTTATATTATAATGATGTATTTTATGAATAATTTTAGATATTTATACATTTATGTAGTATTTACATATTCTTATTTTATTTTTTACGTTTTTTTCGTGGTATGACATAATTTATTTTATATTTTGAATAATTTATTTTTTCAAAAATAATGTTCACTTCATTTCTTGATTTTTTTTGGGGGATAAGTAAAGTATTTCCATTAATCTAAAGGTAGCAAAGCTATAACAACAGCAGCCAGGGGGAGGCCTCAATAAAACTAAGAAAGCCCCCAATCAATACACAATCTCATATTCAGACTATCTCATATTCATTTATCGATTTGAGATTTTTGTGTGTTAATTATTCATGGCAATCTGTTTTTAAAATAGATTGTGCATGTTTATGTTTGTTTTCATACTATATTCATGTTATTTTTTTGGTAATTTTTTATTTTAATTAATTTTTCTATATTGTATCTTGAGTTATTTATGTTTTCGATAATTTATCATAATTATTTCGTTTTAATTTAAATCAATTTATTTAAAATTAAATCATTATATTTGACATACATGTAGTATAATATTTAAAACTTCAATTCAATTATTTAAAACATAACAAAGGATATATTTTAGTATATAAAAGTTAAATCCGCAATTTAAACTAATTCGATAAGCCAACAGAGGATAGCTCGACCAAAGTGGCAAGCACATACTCTCTTGGATCCACCGTTGTACCTTGTAATCTTCCTTTCGATTCTAACTCTTATGTCCATTTACTGGACACGTGGCGCCGCTGTCGGCTATAGTCCAATATAAAAAGAAGCCTGTATGTATCACGAGTGATATAACCTGATAAGGATGATGAAACGTCCACGTTTTGCAATCGCTATTAGACCAGTTGTCTCCCTGTCGCGCCATAGATCTTTGCCACGCTGAAATGGTCATCTATCTCCATCGTCCGATGGCCATACCCACAGTCCCACACTTCGCTTCCGCGAGTCTATTTAATTTCAAATTCATTTTATTAATAAGAATAAATATCAAAGATTATCTATTTGAATACTCTCAATTAAATGATAATAAATATTTATATTTTTGATATCCGTAACATTTAAATTTAAAATTTTAAGAGATAACAATAATATTTTATCATTGAGATAATATGATTCGTACATTTAAATATAAATTGATAATTAATTAATTAATTAAATTTAAACAACAACTTTAAGAAATAAACGAAAATAAAAGTTTGTCTATCTCTTATTGGCTTGAAATTTGTAAGATGATGTTAACGCCTTTGCGCATGTCTATGCTCACATATAAATATATATTAAATTAAGACTGTTAATTTAATTTAAGAAAAAAATATTGTTGAAAGTTTTATTTTATTATATCGTTATTGAAATTGTTTCTACATAATTTTTTCTTTATTTATAGTTTCGTTATTCATACAGTTATATATATATATATATTTGTCAATGAGAGGTTTTGTCCTTACGTTCAATAGATAGTGATGGACATTACCTAGGCTCTTTTTATCCTTGACTGTATAATTAAACTAAATTATTTTATTAACTTTTACACAGCTTTTGTATAAGTGATGATGTTTGAAGAATTATTTTTTATTAATCACGATTATATGTATTGTTAATAATTTAAGAAAAATTATAAACATATATCTTTTATAATAATCTTAAATCAATTAAAAATACATATAATTAAAATAATTGACTTTAGCTTTACTTCAGTTTTAATATATTTCATTGACACAAGGGAACATTGTTTTGAATGCTAGGTTGGAGACTTGGAGGTTGTTTTTCCTTTCACTTTGCGACTAAATTAACGAGGAGATATATTATTGTGTTTATTAAATTTTTTTATAATATTGTGTTATTAAATTTTATGTTATAATCATTAGATGATGATATATATCGCAATATTTGTTTTGAATCAACAAGATCCCACTTGGAACAAGAAAACGTGGAAAATTATTCCCACGTTGAGAAATAGGAAAAATAGATTCAACCCGGGTCGATAACTCAGGCAAACCAGGAGACGACAAGTTCACGTGGTAATACGAGTATATTACCACCTTAACACGCCTTTGAAATATAGAACAGAGATATTATAATTAAATCACGATTAAAAATACTTTTTAAAAGTTAATCATATTTTTTAAAATAATTAAATAAATTTAATCATTAAAGTAATTATTTAAATATAATTTAATACATTTTAATGTATTTTATTCTAATATATGAATTCGGAAGGATGTATTTTATATTAAATCTAATATATGGTAATCAAAAGAGGGAGCGTACACCATATCCCACCCTTGGGGACTGGACCGATTCAAGCGAGTCATAAGTCATAACTCGTCATACTCAAAGCAATCATTGTTAAAAATAAAAAAAAGGGGGAAATCAGCATAGAAACGGAAGTTGCAGTTGACGAGCTCTATATTTTCTCCGTAATTACTATCCATAATATCGAAAATTTTCATTTTATTAAAATTAAAAACGTCGATATCTCGCATTTTTTTAGGAAAAAAGAAGAAGCACTGTTTCATTCATTCATATATATCATATATAATTACTGAATTTCTGGGGTTAATTTTTGTGGTTGTTCTAGTCTCTAATAGTCTGCTTTCTCGATCTATCACTTCCTCTTCTGGACAAAGCATAACGTTTTCCGATTCGTTTAGTTTATTTTTTATTTTTTGAAATTCCGATTCGTTTAGTTTAATATAATTGGGTTTTCCCCTTTTTGTAGTTTTTTTTGGTTGCTCGAGGTTTCCATGTTGAATAATTGAATTGTTATGCGTTTTTCCTTTTCAAAATTTGTGCGTTTTTATCTCATATATGAATTGCGTATATATGAATTCAATTTTGTAGAGTGTTAGAGGCTTTTGTTTTTATCTTTTTGTTTATCTCTTCCTCTCGCGGTTTATCGACGATCCGTGGTTTCAGTGAACCCGAGCTTTGAGGCTCGGGGAACTTGGGAACCGAAAAGCTAATGGCAGACGAGAATGGCAGTGATGCTGGACTCGACTCCAATCCTTCTTATTTGCAGAAATTCAGACTCTACGAGACTCGCTCGGTACTTTTCATCTCTCATCGTATATATACAACTATACACTCGTCTGTAAATTTAGTAATTTGCTCGTTCATTGGCTGTTGGTTTAATAAATTTTTGACTTTTCTGCTTTGATCGTTGTAGTTCCTTAATGTTTATCCTGCTAAAGTTCCTCTCGGTCTTTTTGGTTGTTTTTGTTTCTTATGGTGACTTTTTATCAAACTATTTTATTTTGGAAACTTTGAGCATAAATGGTGATGTTGAGTTTTCATCTTCAAATCTGCTGTGACATAGTATGCTTCTGGAATGATCCTATTTCTTTTGTTAATTAGTTTTTGAAATATTTAACAATGGATGTACAATCTCTCTTTCATAAGAAAGAATCCCTGAATAGCACTTTCTGATGTAGGTTGAGAATTTTTTTCTTTTTGAAATCAAATAGAACTTGTTTTAATTTGCAATACCAGGTTTAATTGAATAGTTTGACTTCCATTGTCAAACATCTGCTTGTTGCCAACAGTGGTTTGGTTTAGCATGCATTTGTAGTTCTTTACATATATGTTGATCATAACTTTTTTGTTGGAAATAGTCAAGAAAAGTGGGCAACCTTCGGTGGCTTTAAATGCACCGAAAGTTGATTGTTGAAAATGGTTTATGGATTAATTACATTTTAGTCATTGCATATTTTATGGTATTTACAAGATTAGTCCCTAAAGTTCAACTATAAATACCCTAATCCATTTACCTTCAAAATCATCCAAAAATTATTTATTTCTCCCATTACTAGACAACTTTTTGTGAGTGTTTTGTAAACACCTGTAAATTTTCTCTTTTAGTAAAAGATCTGCAGCAGTCCGGAGACGTAAGAAAATTGGCTGAACTCCGTTATCAATTTCGGGTATTATTTTTCCGCTTTTATTTTGCATTCTCACTAATCTGGTTATAGGGAAATTACTTGTTACTCGTTTATTTCCCAACAACTGGTAATCAGAGTTTGGTTGTGAATTTTGTCAATTTTTTGCGAGGTTACTATTCATTACTATTCACGTGAATAATGAATTTCGTGAATAGTAAAATTTTGTTGGTAATACGAATTTGTCGACGGAGGTGTTCTAATACACGGCGGTTCGCGGAAATTGTCAGAAACGATCCAAAGAAGCCAGATTCGAGTGGGAGCGATGGCTGCAGACGAAGGGAAGGTGAAAATTGAAAAGTTCGATGGTGCGGACTTTGGCTTTTGGAAGATGCAGATCGAAGATTTTCTATACCAGAAAAATATATATCAACCCTCTCAGGAAAGCAACCAGAGGGCATGAAGAATGAAGACTTGACTCTTCTCGACAGACAAGCCCTCGGAGTTATCCGACTGACGTTATCCCGCAATGTTGCTTTCAACATAGCAAAGGAAAAGACCATGGCGGGTCTTATGGTGGCTCTCTCCAATATGTATGAGAAGCCATTAGCCTCAAACAAAGTTCATTTGATGAGGCGATTATTCAATTTGCGGATGACGGAAAGGGCATCGATGGCACAACACCTAAATGAACTCAACACAATCACAACTCAGTTGAGTTCAGTGGAAATTGAATTCGATGATGAAGTTCGAGCTTTAATTCTTTTGTCATCTCTACCAGACAGTTGGAATGCTACTGTTACAGCAGTCAGCAGCTCGTCGGGAAACAGTAAATTAAAATTCGACAATGTTCGGGATCTTGTATTGAGTGAAGAAATTCGACGAAGAGAATCGGGTGAAGCATCAACCTCCTCAGCCTTGCACACAGAGTCTAGAGGGAGAACTTCAGAAAGAAATTCAAATCGAGGCAGATCGAAATCCAGAACAGGAAAATCAAGAACGGGAAAGAAAGATTTTACCTGTTATAACTGCGGCAATAAGGGTCACTTTAAAAGAGATTGCCGAGCACCAAAGAAAAAAACCGGCGCACAGTATTCTGCCAATGTGACAGAGGAGACAGGTGATGTCATGATTCTAAGCGTCAACAGTCCGATTGAATCATGAATCTTGGATTCAGGGGTATCTTTCCACTCCACCCCATGCCGAGAAATCATGGAGAACCATGTCAGTGGTGATTTTGGGAAGGTTCATCTAGCCGATGATGAAAGCTTGAAGATCGTCGAAAAAGGAGACATCCGGTTAAAGTTGTCAAACCAGACCACATGGAAGCTGAAAGAAGTGAGACATATTTCTGGCCTTAAAAGGAATTTGATTTCTGTTGGACAACTTGATGGAGAATGATATAATACAACCTTTTCAGGCTGTGAATGGAAGATTACCAAAGGAGCACTAGTTATTGCTCGTGGTAAGAAGACTGGTACTCTATATGTAACCTCAAACTTAGAGAGAATATCATTGTTGCAGTAGATGCTGATGGAAAATCAAACCTATGGCACCAAAGGCTTGGTCATATGAGCGAGAAAGGGATGAAGACACTTTTGTCAAAAGGGAAGCTGCCGGATCTAAAGAATGTAGATGTCGGACTATGCGAGGATTGCATCTTTGGCAAATAAAAGAAAGTCAACTTTGCAAAGATTAGTAAGACACCCAAGGCTGAAAAGTTAGAGTTGGTTCATACTGATGTATGGGGACCATCTCCAATTCCATCTCTTGCAGGCTCATTATATTATGTCACCTTCATCGATGATTCTACAAGGAAGGTGCGGGTTTATTTTCTGAAGAAGAAATCAGAAGTCTTTGATACCTTCAGAAAATGGAAGGCCATGGTGGAAAATAAGACTGGTTTGAAAGTCAAGCGGTTTAGGTCTGATAATGGATGAGAGTACAAAAATAGAATATTCAGAGATTTCTGCGCAAACAATGGGATCAAGATGGAGACAACAGTTCCCATGACACCGCAGCAGAATGGCGTAGCAGAGCGCATGAACAGAACTCTGAATGAACGTGCCAGAAGCATGAGGATATATGCCGGATTGCCCAAATTTCTATGGGCTGAAGCTATCAACACTACAGCTTACCTGATCAACCATGGGCCCTCAGTTCCTTTGGATGGCAGAATACCAGAGGAAGTTTGGAGCAAGAAAGAAATAAATCTTTCACACTTAAGAGTGTTTGGTTGTATTTCTTATGTACACATAGATTCTGCTGAAAGAAGTAAACTTGATGTCAAGTCCAACAAATGCGTCTTTATTGGTTATGGTGGTGATGAGTTCGGTTACCGATTTTGGGACTACGAAAATCGAAAGATAATCAGAAGCAGAGATGTCATTTTCAATGAGAATGTGATGTACAAAGACAGATCAACTATAGAATCAAGTAGCTCCAATATTAAAGCTGAAACAAAGGAATTTGCTGAGTTCGAGGAGATTTCTGGAAATGATGTTCAGATCAGTCCTAAAGCAGTTCAGGAAGAATCAGACACACCAGAACTAAGACGTTCCTCCAGAATTCCTAAACCAACCTAGCGTTATTCGCCTTCTTTGCACTACTTGTTGCTGACTGACAATGGTGAACCAGAGTGCTATGATGAAGCAATGCAGGTGGAGGATTCAATCAAGTGGGAGTCTTCAATGAAAGATGAGATGGACTCGCTTATGTCAAATCAGACATGGGAATTAGCTGAATTACCACCAGGCAAGAAAGCGCTCCATAACAAGTGGATTTATAGGATCAAAGAAGAGCACGATGGGAGCAAACGCTACAAAGCAAGATTGGTCGTCAAAGGCTTTCAGCAAAAAGAAGGTATTGGCTACAATGAAATTTTCTCTCCAGTCGTAAAATTGTCTACAATCAGACTGATGTTAAAAATTGTAGTTGCAGAGAATTTACATCTTAAGCAGTTAGATGTAAAGACAACTTTCCTTCATGGTGATTTGAAGGAAGAAATCTATATCAGGCAGCCAGAAGGCTTCATAGAGGCAGACAAGAAAAACCTGGTATGCAGGTTGAAGAAGAGCTTGTATGGTTTAAAACAAGCTCTTAGACAGTGATACAAAAAGTTTGATAGTTTCATGAGTAGCAGTGGTTTTACTAGATGCCAAGCAGATCATTGTTGCTACATCAAGAGGTTCGACAATAGCTTCATTATTTTATTGTTGTACGTTGATGACATGCTCGTTGCAGGCTCAGACATGCAAAAGATTATAAACTTGAAGCAAAAATTGTTGAAGCAGTTTGCTATGAAGGATCTGGGAGCTGCAAAACAGATTCTTGGCATGAGGATTAAGAGAGAGACAAAGTCGGGGACTTTGATGTTATCACAGGCTGAGTACATCAACAAAGTACTCTCCAGGTTCAACATGCAAGATGCTAAACCAGTAAGTACACCTTTAGGTGTTCATTTTAGACTCTCCAAAGAACAGTCACCAAAGACGGAGGAAGAACGTACACACATGGTGAAGGTGCCGTATGCCTCAGCAATTGAAAGTTTGATGTAAGTCATGGTTTGTACCAGACCAAATATTGCTCATGCAGTGGGAGTTGTTAGCAGGTACATGAATAATCCGGGCAAGGTACACTGGGAAGCAGTCAAATGGATCCTCATATATCTGCGGGGTACTACAAACAAAACACTTTGTTTCAAAGGTGGAGATACGATACTAACAGGCTATGTAGATGCTGACTTAGCCAGAAACGTTGACATCAGAAGGAGCACTACAAGTTATGTCTATACTGTAGGAGGTACTGCAGTGAGTTGGGTTTCTCAACTACAGAAGATAGTTGCTCTCTCCACAACTGAAGCAGAATATGTCGCTGTTACGGAAGCCAGCAAGGAGATGGTTTGGCTCCAAAGTTTCTTGAAAGAGTTAGGCAAGAAACAAGAAAACAATGTCTTTGTACTGCGATAGTCAAAGTGTCATCCATCTAGCGAAGAATCCGTCTTTTCATTCCAGGACGAAACACATACAACTGCGATATCATTTTATATGGTCTCTTCTGGAAGATGGGATTTTGAAACTTGAAAAGATTAGTGGAGCTCAAAATCCGGCAGTCATGTTGACAAAGACGATGACCACGGACAAACTGAAGTTGTGTTCAGCTTCAATTGGCATGCTAGCGTAACAAGACCATAAAAGTGGGCAACTTTCGGTGGCTTTAAATGCACCGAAAGTTACTTGTTGAAAGTGGTTTTTGGCTTAATTACATTTTAGCCATTGCACACTTTATAGTATTTGCAAGATTAGTCCCTAAGGTTCAACTATAAATACCCTAACTCATTTAGCTTCAAAATCATCCCAAAAATCATTTCTTTCTCCCATTACTAGAGAGCTTTCTTGTGAGTGTTTTGTAAACACCTGTAAATTTTCTCTCTTAGTAAAAGATCTGCAGCAGTCCGGAGACGTAAGCAAAATTGGCTGACTCCGTTATCAATTTCGGGTATTATTTTTCCGCTTTTATTTCGCATTCTCACTAATCTGGTTATAGGGAAATTACTTGTTACTCGTTTATTTCCCAACATTTTTAAGATTTATTTGGCTTATGATGGTTGGGACTTCCTTTTGTATTCAATTATCTTTACTTGCAATCATCTCCTATTAAGGGTACCTTTTTTCTTAATCTCATAAAGTTGGTTCTTGACTCCTTAGATTCTATATTATCAGATAAATTTTCATTTTCCACCATGATGCTGATGGGAGCAATGCAGCTACCTTTTCCTTTTTGAACCTAAATTTCTTTGGGTTAATTATTATGCGGTTTCCATCTCAATTTCATAATATTGATGCAACATTTACGTATTCCTTCTGTGCAACAGAATTTCTATATGATTGGAAGAGACAAGAATAGAACTCTTTGGAGGGTACTAAAGATTGATCGATTAGACCCGTCTGAATTAACTGTTGTTGAAGATTTTACTGAATACTCGGAAATTGAATGCTGTGATCTGTTAAAAAGGATACATGAGGGAAACAGGTCCTCAGGTGGACTGAAATTTGTTACAGCTTGTTATGGAATTGTTGGTATGCAGTACTTATCAGGTTCTCCACGTTCCCTCTTCGTCGTTTTTGGTATAAGCTAATTAATTTCTTCCTGTTAATTCAGGTTTTGTGAAATTTTTGGGATCTTATTCCATGATGCTGATCACCAAAAGAAAAAAGATTGGTGCAATTTTTGGCCATACTATCTATGCCATTTCCAAGAGCGAGACAATTCCGATTCTGAAATCTCCTATCCAGTCCGCTATGGCTTATTCGAAGAATGAAAAAAGGTCCTTTGTCAATTCTTCATGTAAATGTAATGTCCTTGGTACTTAGAAGGAGACCTTAGATTATCGCTAAAAGTATTCATTTTCCATTTGTATTCAGCTTGAGTTGTGTTATGTTGCGGTTTTTTACCTTCTTTTCAATTAATTATGTTTTCCGGGACTATAATTTGAGTTCTGGAGTTCTGTTTTAAAAGTAGGAGAGTTCCATGGTTTGGAGGTAATCTCTATACCATTTTTGTTGATACATTCATACACCCTTAATGTTATATCATTGACATGTCCCTGTGCAATTGAAGCACTTTTCTGTTTAGTATCTTCCATGTTTCCCTTTTTTTCATTTCATTTCATTTTGGAGCAGTTAAGTCAGCTTTCACATTTTTTAATGTTGCATTATTGTAGTTAATATCATTTGTAGAGGCTTTTGCAATTTCATTTCCTGCACATCTACAGAGGCAAACTTCATTGCTGTCAAATGTTAGTATATCATGTTGAATGAGACAAGGTATCATCAGGGTTTCCGGGGGCAATTGCTATCTTTTGCTTTAATTTCCTCTTTAAATTTTAAGTTTAAGCTGTTGTTTTTTATTCCCATTCGTTTCTCTATTCATCAAATGTTAGATGCATTAACATGGCTTGCCTTGTTTTGCCTTTTTCCTTTTCCCTGTTGACTTAGGTACAAGAAGCTCCTTTCGACAGTGGATCTCACAAAGGACTTCTTTTTCAGCTACACCTACAATGTCATGCATAGTCTTCAAAGAAATTTATGTAGGAATGAGACAGGACTAGTATACTATGAATCAATGTTTGTTTGGAATGAGTTTCTAACTCGAGGGATTCGCAATACTCTCAAGAATTCTGTATGGACTGTTGCATTGGTTTATGGCTTCTTCAAGCAGGTATGATACCCTTTAGACTTTGTTCTATTCATTTATCTTTGTGATAAGTGATCATGGAATTCAGATTTGCTGGAAGGTTGTTAAATTAAATTATTTTATTTTCTTTCAGTTACTGTCTGTTTTTGGCTTAAAAGATGTTGCTTTAGAGAAATCTAGATGCTTTTCATTTATTTTAATCCTCGTATTGAGAACAACTATCAAATTTACAATTTCTTTGGTTAATGGAGTTTGTTTGTCAATATTCTTAAGGAGCATAGTTGACCATTCACCAGAATTTTTCTTATAACTTTAGCTACCTTAAATGTGGTAACTAAAGATGAACTAGTTTTGTTCTGTCTCAAAATTTTGCTCCACAAATTTGCTAAAAGTTGTTCCTTTTGATATTAAAGTTTTGATTTAATGTACGTTTTTTCCCAACTTTGATATCCAGGTAAAACTTTCTGTCTCTGGCAAGAATATTTTCCTGACTCTCATTGCAAGGCGTTCTCGACATTATGCTGGGACAAGGTTAGAGGCTTTACAGCTGCTGATTGAAATGCCTTCTAGATTTATTGGAAGTTCTCTTAATCATTTCATTTGACCTACATTACATCAGGAAAACTAGCATTGTGCTGTTTCCGTTTGTCATTGTGGTTTCACTTTGATTTTATTTTCTTTGCTTATTTTTGTGCTTTAGTTTGTGATCGCTCTTGTGAGATAATAAATAAACTGTTTTTTCATGTGCTCTTGTCGTTTCTTTTGAGTCACACATGACTCACTTTTCTTATTTCTATTATACTGCATAGATACTTGAAACGTGGAGTGAATGAGAAAGGTAGAGTGGCAAATGATGTTGAGACAGAACAAATTGTGTTTGAAGATGTTCTTGAAGGGTTCCCTACACAAATAAGTTCTGTTGTCCAGAATAGAGGCTCTATCCCACTTTTCTGGTCTCAAGAAATCTCACGCTTGAACTTGAAACCTGACATTATATGTATGAACTTTTGTTAAATTTTTGCACACAGCAATAATTATGCAGTTCTACATTGTAACTATTGCAGATTTTCCTAATATTTCCTTTTGCTTCCAGTATCAAAGAAGGATCCTAATTATGAGGCCACAAGACTACATTTTGAAAATCTTGTAATGAGATATGGAAATCCAATAATCATCTTGAATTTGATAAGGGTAGGCTTTTGCACTGATCATTTGTCAGTTTCCACAAACTTTATGATGTTCTTCTATCTGCAATGGTTTCCTGATTCATTCTGCTTTCTACTCTTTGTGATTAACAGACGTGTGAGAAGAAACCTCGTGAAACTATTCTTCGTGCAGAGTTTGCGAAAGCCATCAGATTTATCAATAAAAGCTTACCCAAAGAGAACCGTCTGAGGTTCCTTCACTGGGACATAAACAGACACTCCAGAAAGTACTTCAACGCCCCTTATTCCCATTTCTTAAGAAAACTTCTTTCTTAATAACCTTTTCGAGGTTTGTTCACTTAATAGGGGTTGACCATTTTCTGCAGAGCTACAAATGTTTTGGCGCTTCTAGGCAGAGTGGCTGATTATGCATTAAACTTAACGGGCATATTTTACTGTCAAGTAACTCCAAATTGTAGACAAGATGGGTCGTTGACTTTGTCTCGCTTAGTGTAAGTTCCATTAAATGATTTGTTCATATTTTCATGATATTTAGGGTTTTTTCTGGTGTAGTGGGGTGTGTGGGAGGGGCTAAGCTAACAATATTTTGCAAATATAAACCTGTAAAGTTCCATTTCTTTAGTTATATGTTTTCCTGATCATTCATGTTAACTACTTATGTTACTTCACAGGCCTAATGATGAGTGCCCTGCTAAGTCTTCTTCTGACAAAACTGACAATGTTCAGAAGTTAGCAACTGGTGTTGCTAATGACAAAGAGAATTGTAGTGAGACTGTAAAACCTCCCATGCTTCAAACTGGAGTACTCAGAACCAACTGCATTGACTGTCTCGACCGCACTAATGTTGCTCAATATGCCTATGGATTGGTGGCTCTTGGACGCCAGCTACATGCTATGGGTTTCACAGAAACCCAAATTATTGATCAAAATAGTCCGTTGTCCGAGGATTTAATGGCAGTTTATGAAACAATGGGTGACACACTTGCTTTACAGTATGGTGGTTCTGCAGCTCACAACAAGGTATCCTTCTAATAAATTTAAGTAGCTTTTGCTATTATTCCAAAATAAATTGATGTAATACATGAAGTATGATTTTCATATTGAGTAAATGCCCCATACATGGTTTTGAAATTAACTTTTGGGGTATTAAGATGACAAGTACCATGACAATAGAGCTTACAAGTTGGTTGTCAGATGCTTGTATTGAAACCTTTTGGTATAAGGCCCCTACCCAAGTACAATTTCTAATTCTTAATTTGCCATGTTAAACAGATATTTTGCCAAAGGAGAGGCCAATGGAAAGCAGCAACTCAGTCCCAAGAGTTTTTTAGAACTTTGCAACGTTACTATAGCAATGCATACATGGATGCAGAGAAGCAAAGTGCCATTAATTTGTAAGATAAAAACAAGATTCGTTCTTTATATTTCTGTTCATATATGGTATTTAGATTGTGGTTGGTAGTGTAGAAGGTCCAGCATGATGGGAGTCCCCCCTCTGCACAACCCCATGCTAGCAAACACCCTCACACTGCTAAAGGATGGTGATGGATATCACTCATAGAATTTTGGCATTGCCCCATTCTAGCAAACTCTCTCACACTGCTTAAGGATGGTGATGGATATCACTGTTACACTTAGAATTTTGGCATTACCCTATTCCTTACCCCATGCAGGTTTTTGGGTCACTTTCAGCCACAACAGGGTAAACCAGCGATCTGGGAATTGGATTCAGACCAATATCGTGTAGGAAGGTATGGTCCTAATATTTGTAGTGAGGATGCTAGGTGTATCAAAATTCTGAATTGCAAATACCTGTTATACTGAATTTCCAGCGCCAAGTATTTCTTTTAGACTATATGCCACCAAATAATTTTAGTTCTAGATATAATATGAGTATGTTTAGCAATATTCTAATGTTTTGTGCTGAATGTTGTGTCTATAAATCTAATCTTTGAATTGCAAATGTTTGTTATACCAAATTTCAGTTTCTAAAAATATCATTAGATGCCAATAATTCTAGCTTTACATATAATATGCATGTTTTCAATAATATTTTAGTTTTTTATACTTTATGTTGTATTTTTAAATCTACTCTGAATTGCAGTTTCCTGGTATACGGATTTTCTAGTTTAAAGGATTCTTATAGACTTTATGCTGCCAAATAATTCTACTTCTAGACAATATGTAGAGGTTTAGCAATATGTTGATGGTTTTATGTACATTATTGTGTTTATAAATCTAATAGGTTTTATTGTTGTACCACAATGATTGTTTTGGAAACTGTATTTTGTTTAACTGGTATAAATTTTTAGTGATATCAATGTTCTTTCATCTGTTTGTTATAGGTTGGTAAAATATAGTTTTGACTTTATCATAACCCAGCCGTTCTAGCAGAAGTAGCTAATAAGATCACTTTGAAATATATCTGTAGGCCATCTATTAAAAGATCACTGTCAGACGGCAACATTGTCTCTGAAACGGACTCTCCCTTGGATGCTTCCAATGTTGGGCATCGTGATTCTATGTCTGCGAATAGAGGGGCTTTGCATGGTCTTTCTGAGTCCACTCCAGCTATCCCAACATCTGAAATTTCTTATTCCAGGTGCACATAAATAATATTTGTTCCAGTTACATAAATAATTTCTGCTTTACTATAGTTCTTGCAGAGATTTATAATAATGTTGCATCTAAAGGTGCCAACGTATTAAATGTTTGAAATCTGTTTATGTCTGTACCCACGAACAATGATGAAAGATCATCTTTAAAATAATTTAGAACTGATTCAAAGACTTAATCTGTATGCACACTTACTAAGTTTTTGCTGCTTTTCTGGGTTTAGTCCAAGAATGTCTTGCAGGCAGCTTTTCGGAGATACGGCGGAGGACCAAATATATTATGATGAAAATGACTACTATAATTGCACTAATTTTGATCTAGAATGGCTTTCTTCTTCAGGAAATTCATGCGACGAGGATATATTTGACAGGTAGACATACTCATCTTCAGTTTGATTACTGTAAAAATGCTGAAAGCTTTCCAGATAACTTTTTTCTCTGAAATCAATTATACCAATCAGTCAAATTATGTGGTGTTCTCCGTTTTCTCAGCTAACACCACACTCTTAATTTGAGCAAACGCCATAAACTGCTTTCAATTTAGTATTTAACAGCGGGAGGTAGGTAACAACGGGTCATGTTTTTGTCATTAAACTACAGACTAAAGGCACGGGCGAACTTTTATATGCACTTTCTTGTAGGTGCTTATTCTTCTACATTTGTTGAATAATTGATTTCACTTTTGAATGAACTCGTTTATTCCAAGTGTTCGAACTTCAATTAAAAACAAAAATACTTTATTTTATAGAAATGGGAAGCCTCATTAAAAAATCATAACCATCAAGCTACAAGATAGGCCAATGGACATTGGAAGGAGGAAAAGAGTGCTTCAAAGATTTTATTGCTAAAAAACCAAATACAATGGTAATACATAAAACATCCTATTACAACCAGAACAAACCCGAAGCTGAAATCAAAACCCATTACAAACATCAAAAAACATAAAATTAACCTATCCCTAACTTAGCAAACTCATCCGCTTCCCAATTAGCCATAAATTTTTTTGGAAAATGAAAATTGCTACAGGTATACAAGCATTCTTGACCAGAATAGAAAGTCAAACACTTTCAACATCTCCCTCTGGATTTTGTCTCCCCACGCTCGCATTTTGATACCTTTCTGAGTGTATTCTCTCTTTTTGAAACATATTCCAAATTTTCTTGTATTTGAAAATTAAATCATTTGACTTCTGAAATTACATGAATCTGTATTATTGCTTGCAGGTCTAGGACCCTATCCTCCGAAAATATTGGTGCTGAATTAAATGTTGGTATGACTACGTCTCCAAGTGAGTCCGGCTCAAGCATAAAGGTCGGTACTAACAGTTGTATAATTTGATTAATAAATCATCACCGATTTGAACTGAATAGCAAATAAATAATACCAATCAAAATTGATATAAATATTATAATATAAGTTGAATATGATTATTATAAGACAATATATAGATACACATTATACAAATTGTCTACATGCAGAAGCAATATTTCTACTTGACCTAGTGTTAGAGTTGCTAATACTTGAATTTATTCGTAGCTTCTAGTTTCCTATATCTCCATGTGATGTTTCCTATGCCATTGGCTGACAAGCCTACTTTATTTGTTTAGGGAGGATACCGAACTGCATCTGAACTCAGTACTACGGATGAATTTTCGGAGAGCTTTGTGAATTGGATATTCCATGGAGATGTGTTTACTCCTTTAAAGTTTAATTCAAAGTAGTTCCATGGCAAAAAAAAAAATGTTTCACAACCAAACCAAACCTATCCAAAGGATGCGAGTTTATTTCAATGTAAATAAAAGAATGAGGAGATTAAACTGTGAAAAAAGTAAGGGTCGCAACTTATGTTGAAGAAAACGCAAGTGAGATTGAAGTGGAAAAGATTGTGGCTTCTTCTGATTAAAAGCAAGTTTCAACTAGGGATAACAATCGAACAGCACGGGGAAATTTCTACTAGGGATGACAATCGAACAGCACAGAGATAGCTTTTGGAGGAAGCAGAATTTGTACAAAGCTTTGATTGCTTTTCGATCTCTGGCTAACTCGGTCTGCAAAAAAGTGTAAACATTGATGAACACCACAGGTTTCTCCTTGTAAATATTTCAATATTTTATCGAGTAGATAGCTCCTCCTTAGCCCTTTTGACATTATTCGCCAACTTTTTTGGGTGAAATATCGTATGCGTTGTCAAATTTCATCCCCATGTTGTGGATTTCAGAATATGACGGCTTGCAGTTAGCAGCAGCCAGAGGTGGCCTAACTACAACACTCACGAACACAAAAGCCAGTTAAATTCTAAATGAAATGTATAGACTGGACCTCACCTCTGTATTCCCTTAATCCACCAACATACATTGTTAAAAGTATGTTTATAGCATCCAAAATGAAATTACAATAAAGGATGATGGGAAAATCCCTCTTTTACCATTCCATATACCGCGCAGCAGGAAAATCTTTGCTAACAACCGGAAAGACAGCCGATGCTTGGGCTTTCCTTAGCAGGACTACCAATGTCAACATATCTCACTGGTACACCAAAACCGGAGGAATGATGGAATGTTTGAGTGACAGGCTGCGCATAAGATGTACTCAGTTTTGTTAGCTAATCTAAGACCGCTGCATATCTAAAGTACGATCAATTTACCGTACATTGAAACATAATCAAACTCATCTAGGATTTGTAACGATAAGAGGGCAATCCTTCTTAAGGATTTCTATTTTCTAAAGGTTGTTAGTGGACGTACCAGGAGTTTAACGTCCGGCAATCGCAGATTAAACTTTTGATGTGGCTTAAGTTGTCTATGGCAATATTTACAACTTGGGGCACGCGGGAGTTTTCCCAAGTATGAGCAAATTAAGCTAAATCGTGGATGAATGAAGTCCAGAGTGAATTATTCCTTGGATTTCGCAGTTTTTCTTGCAGTACTTGAGAAAGAACCATAGGAATTGCAAAATTAGTAACCGATATAACTGTAGGCTGAAGAGGCGCGAGTCTACCCAATAACATTGCAAATAAAAATACGTAGTGATGGGCATCTAAATACAACAAACATTGCCAGATTCCTCCAGGCATCACAATCAACACCTAAACCTATCCATCCTCCGATTTTTGTTTTCATGGACATCCGGCAATTTCTTTTCTACTTCGTGCACATTCACCATTTCTTAAGAAATTGCAACTTCAACCGGTTTAGGCTTCGGTGGTGGAGGAAACTTCTCAACCACCAGTCAAAACCCCATTCTCTTATTTGGCCGCAGTTGTCGACACGTTAGCATTCTCCGGCAACCGGAACTTCCTCGTAAGCTTCTGGGACGCATTCCTTTCGAGCCTTACGTATTTACTCCCTTCCTCTTCCACTTCCTCACGTCTTCTCTTCCCACCGCTTTTGATCACTCTCATCTTCAACACTGACCTGAAATTCAGGACCCAAAAAAAAGTCAACGTCAGCCAAAAGATTATACCAAAAATCAAAAACACCCACATCACGGCTGTTTTGGTTTCTTGTCTTTTCTTATTACCTGGATATCCGACTTGGACAGCCCCGGAACATCCAAGTAGAAAATGATTACCCCGGGAGTGTCTAAAATGTTTGCTGATATGCTACTGAATCCTCTGTTCTCGTTCTCAGTCACGACTGTCTTGAGTCCGTGAAGGGAACGTTAATTTTTCAAGTGTTCCGGGGAAATTAAACCAATGAACGACTATTATTGTAAAATAGACGGCTGCAAAAATGAGCGTCAACACTAATTAAAAATATTAAATAAAATAATTAAATAGAACAATAATCATATCGTGAGAATTCACTATCTTAGAAAAGAATTCGTCTCAATATGTGTAATTACTACAATAATCGAATATCCCCAAAGTTAAAATAACTTTCCAAATCTAGTATACCCGAAAGATGGAATGAACTTAATATTATTACTCTTCTCAAAACTTAAAGCGACATCCAAATAGGTTTATAAAACAAGGAAGAGTGTTTCTAAAATGAACTTGATAGTATTGCTCTTCTCAATATTTACCCTCAAAGTTTTTATATACTAGATTATATGTATTGTGTAATTTGAATGTAAAAATTTAAATAATTTTATTAAAAATGAATAAACATTATTAACTGCTGTTAAAAATTAAAAATTAATGAATAGTAATTCATTTGATCACTCAATTGTAATTAAAATTTTATTTTAATATTTTTTATATTTTTAAACAATTAATTTTAAAAGGTAATAATTTTTTTAAAAATATATGAAATTTATAATTTTTAAAATTATAAAATATTTATTATCATCATCATCATCATTTTGTAAAAGAAATACTAGTTATAAAACTTTTATAAAATTATTCATATTTTAAAATACTTACCCTCAAAGTTTTCATATACTAGATTATACGTATTGTGTAATTTTAATGCAAAAATCAAAATAATTTTATTAAAAATAAATAAATATTATTAACTGTTGTTAAAAAATAAAAATTAATGAATAATAATTCATTTAATCCTTTAATTGTAATTAAAAGTTTATTTTAATAATTTTATATGTTTAAACAATTAATTTTAAAAGAAAATAATTTTTTTTCAAAATATATGAAATTTATAATTTTTAAAATTATAAAAAAAATATTATTATAAAAAATAAACTTGTGACACTAAAATACTAATAAACTCAACCAATACACAAATTATCCACTTCATTAAAACCCCAGTCAGTTCACAACCTGGAACCGTGCGGTGTGGGGGTGTCTGCACAATTAAAAATGCTGACGTTTTTACACAAATGTCACTATAATAGAAATTAATGACGTATTTGGCACCAATTTAAAAATATTTACAAAATTAACACCCGAGTTTTTTACACATTTGGTAAGACGCGCCCTCAGGAGCGCGCCTTCGACCACGTGGCGTAAAGCGCAGTGCAAGGGTGCGCCTTCTTGCAAAAGGTGTTAGATCGGGAAATATAGTCTGAACAGTGCCTGACAGGGAAATATATAAGGTTAGGGTAATATTTCGGGAAATATGCCTAGGCCGAGAGACTAAGCAATAGGGAGGGCCCACCACATCACGTCTAAGAAGATCCTGCAAAGGAGGAGACGGGGAAACAATTTTAGTCTGGAAATTCAGAGGCGAGTATAGTTTAGCAATTCCATCAGCTAGTTTATTTGTTTCCCAAGTGATCTCTGTCACCCAACACAGTTGGCGAATTTTGTGAATTGAAGGCACCAACGCATGAGGATTTGTCGAGCAATTAGGATCAGTAACAAGATTGACGACATCTGCACTGTCTGATTAGATCAAGAGTAGTTCGAAGCCATGATCCCAAGCAATTGTCAAACCAATGAAAATAGCCCATATTTTCATTTTTAATAATACCAACGATTTTTATTAAGAAAAAGTTAATCAAGTCATATCAATTTCTATTTTTAAGTAAATTAATCTCAATTGTCTAAACCAGTAGAATTGTTTTATCAACGGCGCTTCGAGAGAGAAAATCCGTAAAATTCAATTGATTCAAAATTTTATCATTTATACACTTTTTATAATTAATGAAATGGTCCCAAACTTGCAATATCACCCCATTAATCGAAATGAACCGTTCTTTTATTTGGAAATTTTTCGATAAAATAATATAATATTTGATTTCTATTCGTTATTTAAAATCGTGGGCGATGCAGACAAAGACATAATAAGGGTCTGATACATTATATGCATTTTAGAATGCTATTGGAAAATAATAATAATAATAATAATAATGGGAATGACGTGGGAAAATATATCCCTAGTGTAGCATTAGCACATGCACATGCACATGGAAAGTGCTAGTGGTTGAATCCCACTCCATAATCTCTCTGATACTTTGGAACACACCGGAAACTTTGACTCACTGCTGTTACATATTTTCAATTAATGGAACGATACTAATACTATAAATTATATTAAAATACAGAACCATAATGTATTAGTATTCGTAATATATAAGATAAATAATTGAAGTGCATGCACTTGCGTAGATGAATATCACCAAAATAAACACAACTATCTATTTCTTTAATATATAAAAAGCCTATCAGATAAAACTTTGAATCCATGATTAATCGTTCAATGATCTTTATGGGGGTTTTCTTTCCCTTGTTATGGAGATCTTCATTATTATTTTTTTAAATGCAGATCCATGCAAATTGCGGGAGAAAGAGACGATGATGACGATGATAGTGTGGTGACTTTGATTGATTGGTTCTACAATGTTAGGGAAAGAGAAGGCACGTGGTTTGGACAGATTCCAAACCAAATTCACGTGGGCATTTCTAACCTAATCCATAAATTCGGAGTTTGGACCACAGTACTTTCGAGACTGTTTTCTTGGAACAACAAACCTCTTTTTTGGGGTACAAGCTGCTTTAATCCCATCCAGACCAAGAACGAGATTCCGTCTAAGAGGCCTCATTAATTGAGTTCGTGGATTTGAAATGTGTTGGTTAACTAGACGTAATCTCATCCAATTATATATTATCTTATTCGATCATCTTTTTTTGTAGTGATCAAAAGGATGCGTATACATTAAGTGAGTAATAAAAGGGTGAGTTTGGCGTAACTTTTGAGAATTGACTTTTAAAATTATTGTAAAAATAAATTTTTAAAAGTGTCATATAAAAGTGTAGTTTAAAATTTAATTATTTGAGAATGCATATACTAATAAAACAATTTGATTATCTTTTTAAATTAACTAGATTACCTAGTTATATGCATATACTAAATTAACTTATTGTTCGCACGCTGAGAATGCAAAGTTAATCGCAACGCTTAGACCAGAGATTACTTTTAACAAAGGCGTAAAACTTGATTTATTGTTAGTTCAAATTGATTTTAATTCTAATAAAACAATTTGATTATCTTTTTAAATAGTGATAAGATGCATGCATATATATTGACCATGTGATTAAATTAAATGTGTCTGTATTCCAAATTATTATAATTATATATAATGTGGTTATATACATCAGGCACATGCATAATATATCTTTGGATTGTTCATAATAAAAAGGTGAACCAAATTTCAATCAAGTTGTGAGAGAATAATGAACACTCAAGTTAAACCACTTGCCAAAAAGACTCGATCATCCTACCTCCATAGGTGGGCCCCTTCAACTGGATCAAGTTGAACCGACTTTGAATTTTTTTATTAAAATAATGTCATGAAAGACTCCATTTAGAAAAAAAGAAAGTTTAGGTAAAGAAAATTGCTTTCTTTATCTTCAATTTAAAATCATACAAATAAAATTTAATTAACGCATAACATCTACAAGAAATTGAAGGCAAATAGGCAAAATATCCCAGTCCTTCAAATCAATCATCACCATCCATTCTATTAAAAAAAATCATCACCGTCCATTGGCCTCCACCTTATCTATTTTATTCCTCGTATCACTGTTTTATTACTTTGCACACACACAAACAAAAGAACAAACAGATTCATGTATAAATAACCGGTTTCTGGATAGCTACCGTTGTTCGCAGAGAGTCTCTTGCCTTCCTTTCCCTCTGTTATTCTTTTTTCCCCTTTTGTCTTTTACCATCTTTCCCTTCACGGAAACGCGTACTGAGATTCCGTGTTGCAGTTCCCACAAAGATATAGTTCTAAGCTAGGTTTCTGGTTTAGGGTTTTGCTGTTGGTCAATTTAATTTGTCGACAAGACAAGGAATTTTTGGTGCTGGGTTTGTGTTTTCGGGTTGTTTATTGAAGAAATGGCAAGTGGAGGAGCGAAGAACAATGATTTCTATGCTGTTCTGGGGTTGAATAAAGAATGCACTCAAGCAGAGCTCAGGACTGCTTATAAGAAACTTGCACTGGTTAGAGTTTTAGCATTTGATTTGAATTGTTTATTTCGTGGTGTTAATAATCTGTACTTGAACCGATACTGAGTTCAGTCTTGTTTTGGCTTTTGGCTGTATAACAATATCCAACCCTTCCTGTGAAAATTCTGGGCTTTCTATAAATGAACCAACTTTTCGGGGAATTATATGCTTGCAATGAATTTCTTTGTTGTAAAAAGCAAAGTTTGAATTTGGTGTTTGTCTGATGGATACAGAGATGGCACCCTGATCGTTGCTCTGCATCGGCAAATTCCAAGTTCGTGGAAGAAGCCAAGAAGGAATTCCAGGCCATTCAACAGGCCTATTCTGGTAATTTTATCTTTCTACATACTCCCTCTATCCAAAATTTTCTTTTTAAAAAAAAATATATTTTAGATATATTTTTTAATCAAATATAAAATATAAATTACAGAATGGAGGTAGTATTATTTTACCATTGTATTCCTCGATTCAATTGTAATTTACACTTTTATACTCATAAAAGTTGAGATTTCATTTGTTTTCCATTTTCTCCCTCTTTAAAATAATTTAAGTGGGAATTATTTTCTACAGTTCTGTCTGACGCAAACAAGAGGTTCTTGTACGACGTAGGAGTTTACGACAGTGACGACGACGAAAATGTAACTTCGCTTTGCAGTTCTCCACATCTTTTTTATTTTATTTTTTATTCTTCATACATATAATATTAATTTCAAGTAGATTTAGGTCAGGGTTAAGCATGTAAAATGAGTAAATATTTATTTTCATGGATTTTTTTGGAAATATTCATGGAATGGTTTGATTTCAGGGAATGGGGACCTTTTTGAACGAAATGACTGAGATGATGATGCAGACAAAACCTAGTGTAAGCCTAGTTTCTGGATTCATATACTAGTGGGATTTGAAATAGGGTATACATTTGATACAAACGTGTGTTTTAATTAATGTATAGGAAAAGGGAGAAGAAAGCTTAGAGGAATTACAAGAATTGTTTGAAGAAATGTTCCAAGCTGACACTGATTCATACGAGTCCATTACTCCTTGTACTGCTTCATCTTCGTTTGGGTCTTACGGTCAGGGTTCCAAGCGGAGTTCCTCCAAAAGCAGTTCGGCGGAGACCATCCCGGAAAGCTTCGATGCACAACTTAATGGTTTCTGTCTCGGGGTAAGTCGGATCTCCTATCTCTCCAATATAACTAATATAATGTCCGAACAACACAGGTAATGCATGGAAAAATGGTCTTACAGAATACTTGTGTCCTCTGTTTTTGTGTTAAGAAACAGGGTTAATTGTGATTTGATTGATAGGGGCTCATTAGTCATTAGCTTTCCTTTTTTGAACTAGCTTGTTATGTAGCATCTGGTCCAGTCATTTTTAGTTATTTTTTTGTCAACTTTTGTGTCAAGGCATCATGTGTCATAAAATAGCATTACACCATCGAAGGAGCACAACATTGGACTAGGTTATATGCGATGCGGAGGTGAGACGGGTAAATTCTTTTGTCTGTTTATTTCGGTATTAACACATGTCGTCTAATGTATAGATCGAAACCTTAAGTATTCATTTAAACAAAATATTTGGCCGATGCATTTGACATGCTAGTTATATTGTTTTTTCCAACAACATTTCAAATGTAAAATTCTCATGAAAGCCTTTTTTCCCTATTGATGTTTTCAAGACAGAGAGACCAGAAGCAAGGTATCAGGCAACTGAGAAGAGCCATAGGAGGGACACCCGAAGGAACCGACCGTAGTAGACGTAGGGACGGCCGGAAGCAAAAGGTTTCGTGTGGCCATGATTTTTCTTCCAACGACTACGGCATTCTTCTTGGTAACACCGGTTTATTCATTAACTTAATTCAATTTCAACCTTACCATTTTGGTCCACTTAAACACATTAACATCCTGTGGCCAAGATGGTGGCAGACTGATTGTCAGGAAACAGACAACACCGATCGAAGCCAAAACTGTCGGTTCGGCTGTTTTCAGTCGAGGGTTGCGAAGAAACGAGGGAAACTACTAGAGCTTGATATTACTTGTTTAGCTGTGATTCACCATGTCGACGAATCCTTGTATTCGTTGCTTTCTTATACTCTCTTATTTTTTCCATGTTTAGGACCCTGTAATCCATTTTTAGCACGTGTTAAAATATTACTTACCGGAATAATTTGTGTATTATTCTTTGTGGATGCTTTATTTTCCATTTTTGCATTTTTTATTAATAATTTACTTTTATCTCGTTTTTCATGGTAATTTACTTTTATTTTTAAACTTTTGCAAATTCATTTATTTAACATAATATCATGAGTTTCCCCCTAATCATAAAGTCTTTCTCACAATGGTGAGACAACACTCCGCAAAATATTTTTGCGTAAAGCAACAACATTAGGAGAGTCTATAATTGAATATTATCGTTATGAATTTAACATTTTTAATATTACGAATATTCTATCCAGTTATCTGAGTTCATTTCACTTAATGTTATGTTATATACCATTATCATACAATTAGAAGTAATTTAATTAGAGGCGACGATGGACCCTAACGAGAAGCTACCTTACAAGTTGCATAAAACATTCCCCACAAGGGTCTACATTTTCTCTATCAGTTTCCACTTGCCCTGCAACTTGGCAGCTTGCATGGTTTTTTATTCATCATCATCTGAAGATACTATTTTTTATCCATATTATTTTTATCCATATTATTGTTATTAATATTATTATTATTATTATTATTATTATTATTATTATTATTATTATTATTATTATTAATTTATATTAAATATATTAAATACATAATAATATTTACAGGCCCAATTACAACTGGACTGGTCCAGTTACAAACCAACCAGAACCGGTCCAAAACTAACTAGAAACCCTAAATGTTTAGGTTTCCAGTTAGGGTTTCCTAACCCTAATCATCCTCAGCCGCCTCATCACAACCGTTGGATCTGGCACGATCCAACGGTCCACATGGTTCCAGAGAAAACCCTAGGGTTTGATACCCTAGGGCCACGCCGCCGCCGCCGCTGCTGCTTCCAGAAGACTCCGCCGCTGCCACGTCCAAACCGAGGACTCCAGAAGACAGAATACCAACCGTCCACGCCATGGCTACTCAGTGAGTCACCACTGGTAGTCCGGTGACTCACCGAGAGCCCCTCTTCGGACCGGTCCGAGACGAACACCGGTGGTGGCTATAAAAGCCACCACCCACCTGAAAAAAAAAAAGACAGAGACAGAGACAGAGACAGAACTGGAAAAAAAAAACAGAGAAAAGAAAAAAACAAACTAATACCAACGATCTCAGTAGCAGCAAAGAACCAGAAGGAAAAAAGAAAAAGAAAAAGGAAGAAGAGACTTACCGAGGAAGCTCCGACTACCAGATCTCACCGGAACCTTCGAAACAACGAAGGTACTTTTGTAGATTTGCTCCGATTGGGAGCCTTTTAGGAAGAAATAACACCGGAACCGTCCTTAGGACGGTCCGATCTATATATTAGTGTAAAGAAAAATTTTTCCGGCCACCGGATGCGGTGGCCGGCGGTGATGGTCACGGCGGCAGACGGTTGCCGTCCGGTGACCGGCTTCCCTCCGGTGAGGGAAGCTAGAAAGAAGGCAGAGAGTTTTAAAACTCTCTCTGCTAGAGAGAGAAAAAAAAAAAGAAATGAAATGGCTGGCCCTTTGGGCCAGCCGGTTTGGACCATTTATAGTCCTTCCCGAACGACGTCGTTTCGGGAAGGACTATACGCGTAATTATGAAATAGTTAAACCCCGTCCGCAGTCCTCCGGATTTGTAAAATTTACATTTTAGTCACTAAATTAAATTTATAATATTCTTAATTTGGTCTTCGAATTTTAATTTCTTTTATTTTAGTCCTTCATATTAAAATAATATATTTAGGATAAATTACAGATTTGATCCATTAATTTCCATAAATAATTTTTTAATCCCTAGTTTATATTTTTAATTTATTTCATTATAAATTCGAATTTTAGATAATTTTATTTTAGTCACTAAATCATTAAATCAGAAATAACATATTTGATCCCTATAATTTTGATTAATTATGAAGTAGACTTTTAATTTTATTTTTACTGTAATTAGTCATTTATTTTATGTTTCTTTTATTTTATTGTTTTTAAATATATTGTTTTAATAGTATTTTTATTTTTATGAATAATATTTTATATATTCATAAATATATATAAAGTAATTTTTAAATATTTATCTTAATAAATCGAAGAAAAGGACAGTCTTAATACAACTGGATGTCCTATTCTGATATTTTAAAATTAAAAATTAATTAATATTTATCAATATCAAAGAAAAGAGCTGTCTTAAGACACCTAGAAGTTCTTTTCGGATATTTTTAAATAAAAAATATTTTTATAAAATTTTGAAATAATAGGGTTATAAATTAAATATATTTTTGAATTTTTTAAATTTTAATAAAAGAGACAATTTATAATTAAAAAGTACCAATTTTGGGCGTTGTAGGGGTGCTAATCCTTCCCTAAACGTAACCGACCACGAATCCCTTTTTATTATTAAAAAGAACGAATTTTTGGTTATAAAACGCAGATCAGTTCATCTTTTGAATATGGTTTTCTTAAAAACTATTTTAAAAGATAATTTTAGGTATTCGACCTACCTGATCCAAAAGGCCGATGGCGACTCTTAAATTATTTTCAAAATTATTTATTAAACATTAATTTCCCCGCCAAAATTTAATATTTCGTGCCCGGACGAAAACCGGTTACGACAGCTTGGCGACTCTGCTGGGGACTTGGTCAAACTTTTAAAAAAATCAATTATAAATTGTCTCTATTAGTTAAAAATTAAAAATTTATATATTTAATTTTTAATTCTTTTTTTTCAAACTTTTTATTTATTTATTATTTTTATAATATTTATATGTTTTATTTTCTTTGCAAGTATTTCATTTCATTATTTATTTTTCTAAAGTTTGAACATTTCTCCTCACACACAACACTTGCATTGCATAACATAAAGCTCTATAATTGAGTTGTCCCTTTTAAGTGGAAGTGAAAGCGACGTCTTCGTGAGAATTTATTCTCCGTGTCAGACCTAGCAAGTAACTTCCGGGGTTCATATGCTCTCTGTCTTCGTGAGAATTTATTCTCCGTGTCAGGCATAGAGAAATGTATCCCCTCGAATTGAACTCGATCCACTTTAGTCTGTGATGGACTAGGATTGAGGGTTAGCAACCCAAGGGGGCACTAACAAAGACAATTCGGGTACCTTTATTCCTAGATCTGAAACCTTGCATATAAAAAAACCTTAGAAACTCTTCCGATCAGAAGTCATGCCGAAATTTTGTCCAAAATAGGTGTACACACAGGAGAAATGAATTATGTCTTTCCTGTTAATTACATGTTTATTTAAATTATTTAAATTCAGAAAAGCATGTTTAAATAAAGAATATTTATGTTATTATTAAATTTCTTTATTATGTAAACTAATTTATTTTCTTTTTGTGTGTTCTTTATTTTCTGTTTGCATTGCATCATACAGGATAAAGACATTGATCCTTGTGTTAATTGTCTCATTGGAAAGCCTTCATCTATGGATAAAAAGTGTTCAAGTCAAGTAATTCTAAACTCAGAAGTAAGACAGTGGGCTGAAGATTTACAAAGACAAGAAGGAGACAGTTTGCAGGATGATTATGTATCTGACTTGGCCAGTTATGCTTCAGTTTCACTAAAAAGAAATGATATGCAAGATTTGCGAAGCATTTGGGAAAGTTGGGATTCAAACAAAAAATTGCAGTTTTATCAGACTTACGGAGACATCCCATATTTGCTCTATGTTGAAGTGGATGATGAATTACTCAGAGCCCTAGTTCAATTCTGGAATCCAGGGTACAATTGCTTCACTTTCAATAAGGAAGACTTGGTCTCTACTATTGAAGAATATACAACTTTGTTACATCTTGAAGGTGCTTTGGAGAATCGAATATATTCAAAGTCAATTAAAACTCAACCCTTTCGAGTTAAATTAGCAAAGATTGCCGGGGTACGAGAAGAATGGGTAGCATCCCGTACAAAACAAAAAGGCGAAAGCGAAGGCATTGCTTGGACCAACATCAAAGAACTTATTCAGAGTCATCCAGATATTAAAGTACGATTCGATCTATTTGCTCTGGGTATATATGGTATGGTCATATTCCCAAAAGTATTGGGATATTGAAGCTGCAGTGGTAGACTTGTTTGAACAACTACCGAAGAAGATTAATCCTGTTTCTGCCATCCTAGCAGAGACCTTCAGATCATTAAATGCTTGCAGAAGGTTAGGAGGTGGACGATTCTCAGGGTGTACTCAGTTGTTATATGTTTGGATCCGTAGTCATTTCTGGAGAACAGAAAAGGTTTCATACCGACGCTTTAATACGGATTATTCACCATTAAAGGAATTTCTGGAGCAGGAATGGCCGAAAGAAATTAAGAAAGATATGTGGATTAATGCCTTTCGCAATCTGCAAAGCAATGACGTTGTTTGGCGAGCCCCGTGGCAAATACAAAGGGAATTCATTTACAGATGTGGGGATTACAATTGGATAATGCTGCTTGGATTATGGGGAGGAATTGGATATGCACCACTTCTGGTTATAAGACAGTATGAAGGTCGTCAATTTGTACCTATCACTACTGGATTACAGTCATCTGAGTTCGCATTCCACAGCAAAAATTATAAAAGAAATATCATGGAAGCCGTTACAGCTTGGAAAACAATTTTTTGTATTCGAGCTAAAGCAGCAAAAGAAATGCTAACTCCTGATTATGAAGATTGGAGATCTGTCAGAAAAAACGAAAATATTCCTCTACCAGATCAAAATGAGGATATCTCTATGGAAGATCGCATTAAGGTGGTTCCATCAGAGATTGAAATCTTGAGAGCTGAGTTTGAAGCAGAAAGAGATGACTGGTCGAAAGAGTTAGAGCAAATGAGACAAGATAAAGCCATGTTAGGGGTTGACATTGACTTTCATTCATCACAATGTGCAATGTTGAGAAGAGATAAAGAAAAAGGTGAGGATGAGTACACAGCCTTACAGAAAGATTACCAGGAGTTATACAAATCCCGAAAAGTATCAGGACCCAGCCAATCAACGGTACAGATGACCAGAGAATTGAACATTGAGAAAAGACGAGTTGAAG